ACTTGATTTCTTGAATATTAATTATTTTAGTATAATATATACATATATCTTTATATTTTTTCTGTTTATTCTTCTTACTTTTTTTTACATTTTACTTACATAAATTTGTTTTTATATGTTTAGGCTGCGTTCCGAGTTACGCATATGCGCGCATTTCTCTATATTATACATGACGTGTACTATAGATAAATGCGTAACTCGGAACGCAGCCTTAGGCCCGAATTCATAGTCGTCTCTCAGATCTCAGATCTCCAATCTCAAGAGAAAGAGTAAGAGAGAGAGAAAAAGAGAGGGAAAGAGATGAGATCTGAATCTGAGATCTGAGAGACGACTATGAATTCGGGCCTTATACTTCCAGTTCTCTACTCTACTAAAGAGTTAGAAAGAGAGAGCAAAGGTAGATAAAAGATGAAGTAAGAGAGAAGTTCAGATGGCGTTACCATATAAACTAGCCAACGTCGCGCGTGCGCGCTATTGCTGGCTTCACTGACATCAAAGATACCGACTAGGAGTTTCGCTACTGTATATACTGCAGAGATGCCAGATCGCGCCGGACAGCATCGAGAGTATCGAAGCGGGGTATCCCCACCGCCTCGATGCTGTCGTACGCATACAAGCGAGAACCGCACACGGACGCTGTTTTCGCTTGTATGCGTACGAGAGTATCGAAGGCGGTGGGGATACCCCGCTTCGATACTCTCGATGCTCTCCGGCGCGATCTGGCATCTCTGATATACTGTGACCGTATACACTTCTGCCATTTTGACACAACGGAGAGACGGGGAGTTTCTCGTAGGGGAGTGAGTTTTTTTCATATAAAATTGTGACATAAAAAAACACAAAATTATTGAAACAATTGTAACTTTAGAAAATTGAGACGACGTGAATCATGGCGGAATATTTAGCATCTATATTTGGAACTGAGAAAGACAAGTAAGAGAGCCTAAAATTTATACAAGATTTAACCTAACCCTCTGTAAGAAACAAACTTTATATGTGAATTAACATATATAAGTATGTTTTCACTTTTTCTAGAGTGAACTGTTCTTTTTATTTCAAAATCGGAGCTTGTCGCCACGGCGATCGCTGTTCGCGAATTCATAACAAACCTACGTTCAGCCAGGTAAACAAAATCAAATAATTGATATGTAATCCTCCAGCTTTAGTTTTTTAGTTCGCCATTATAATGGCGGATTAATTGAATGTCTTTTGTTTCTCAAAAGAGAGAAACTCATAAGTACATCTTTGTCTTTTATATGTAAAATTATTTAATATTTTAGTTTTTACATTATTTATATGTATATATAATTGTTTTTTTTTTTTTTTTTAGACATGCTTACTTCAAAACTTGTATGTCAACCCTCAGAATTCAGCAAAGAGCGCAGATGGCTCTCACTGTAAGTTGATACTATATCTTGCAGTTATAACTTAAGTGTTATAAATTATTAGTTTATATACAAGATATTTATAGAAATGTTTTATTAAAATCTTATAAATACATGTATATTATTTGTTTTTAGTGGTTGCAAATGTATCCGACGAAGAGATGCAAGAACACTATGATAATTTTTTTGAGGATGTATTTGTCGAGTGCGAAGACAAGTACGGAGAGATTGAGGAGATGAATGTGTGTGATAATCTGGGTGATCATTTAGTGGGCAATGTTTACATCAAATTTCGAAGAGAGGAAGATGCAGAAAGAGCTGTAAACGAGTTAAATAATCGCTGGTTTGGCGGTAGACCTGTTTATGCCGAACTTTCACCCGTAACGGATTTCCGTGAAGCTTGTTGTCGTCAATACGAAATGGGGTAAATAAAATAAATTACTTGACTAAAACTGAAACTTGCAACACAAATTCTAAAATAGTGCGTTTTTATATAAATTCTTTTTTCTTCAGAGAATGTACGCGATCTGGGTTTTGCAACTTCATGCATCTAAAGCCTATCTCGCGCGAACTGCGTCGCTACTTGTACAGCCGTAAGAAGAGCAGCAGAGGACGATCTAGATCGCGTTCAAGATCACGCGGTCGAGATCGCAAGCGCAGATCCAGATCGCGCGACAGACGATCGAGATCGAAAGATCGCCGAAAGAGAGACGATAAGAGTAGAGACGGTCGGTCCGGTAGATATTAAAAATATTGAGATCTCTGTAAATATTCAGTTCAAGCACATTTCGAGGTCATTATTTAACTGAGAGACTGAGAGACATAAAATTAGTCTACCTCGGAGTCGAGTGGATCAGCGTCTCAAATATTGAAAAATATTGACTTATCGACACTTCCGGCTCAAAGTCTTTGACACTTATCTGGGGAAGATTTTATTTTCTCAATCTTACTATATTCCTTACTATATTCATATATATATAAAGTATTTACATTTAAATATATAAAATACCGTGAGAACGCAGCGACATATATTCGTGAATGTAATATAAAACTTACAAATTTTTGCACAAAAAATTCTCCAACCTCAGTTTAAATCTCACAAACTGCGTTTATATTATAAAGAAAACTAAAACAAGATAAACACATACGATACCAAATGCACAAAGCAGTTGACGGAAATAAAAGTTTATTGATGAAATATAGAATTATCAAACTATTATATATATATATATAATATATAATACATATATATA